ATTAATGAAGCCCCGGAGATATGTTCAGAGACACCGCCGGCGAGTTTAATTTCCTGGGCCTCGTCACCTCTTTGCGAAAACAGGATATTAACCCAGGCCTCGAGAGATTCGGAGAGGAAATGCAGATATGCACAACAGCGAAGTGGGGGAGGAGGGAGGTGCCCAGGCAGCCAGTGAGAACGTGGCCGGCGCCTCTCGGAAGAGCAGAGACTCACCCATCACCCGGGCTTGCACAACTACTTTGATGCTGGCGCTGTGGTTGGACTCGCTGCGAAGGACCATCTCTTCTCGAAGGACGCCTTCTCTGTGGGCCACGTATTCGCACTTGACCCTGTAGCCTGGACACGGGGAGACAAGGAAGGGCGACATGCTCGAGGGACCCTCCAAGCTGGCTCAGGAAAGACCAACTGGGGGAACTCACTGAGGCAGGATTCCCAAAATGACCCCCGAGGGCTTGCAAAGGGAGGAAGGGAAGCACGGGAGGAGGAAAAGGCCGCGAGGAGGACATTCAAAGCCTGTAAACATCAGACTCTCCCTCGGCTCCTGCCTGCAGATGTTCCTCTTAACCCTACTCTCCCATTCAGTTTAGCCTGGGATACGGCCTTCATGCTGGCTTGTCAGAGGACGGAGTCTTCCTCGTCTTCCTGAGACACCCGTGCATTTCTTCCGTTCACGCTGCGGCAGCTCACGGGAGGGGTGCAAAAACAGACCCACCCAAACTGAACTCCTCCAAAGGTTGCTGAAGTTCACCACCCGGCAGCTTCACTGTTGGCCATGCTTGGTGGGGATGATGGGAGATGTAGTCTGGCGACCTCTGAAAGGCCACATGGCACACATACATGTGCAGCAAGGGTTCCCCCCCCACCAAAAAAAAAGTGTTTAGAGGAAAGGGAAAAAAAATGTAATGACATTCTGGTCCTTCTCCCCTCCTGGAGAACATGGAGCTTCTTGGCAAGGAATGATGACGCTCCCTGCATCGTAATTATCCTCCCTCTCCCACCGCAACGTGGGACAATCTTTAACCGTCACATCCCAAAACAGAAACAGCAGCTGCACGCACTGGCTGTCGAGGGACAGAGCACCAAACTGCCCTCATCCGAATCACAGCAAAATGTTGCAGGAAGTCGGCCTGCTCCGCATAGCCGTACATCGCGGGGGAAGTGGATGAGCTGCGCGTCGCTTGCACACGAGTAGCCTCAGGAGGCAGAACCTCGACAGTGGGCCCCGACAGAGGCAGAGGAGCATCTGCCCTCGGTACCTTCAAAATGCAGGGAAGACTCTCCGGTGCAGCAGAGAAGCCTTTTCCCAACCGTGGAGGGCCTCTGCGGACTTGCGATAATCCTGTGCAAGTAAAATCTTCTCAGCTCTAATGAGTTCAGCCTTCAGCGTTTGCACCCTAGGCACGTTCTCCACCCCGCCCCCCCGCAACAGCTGCATCGCTCCCAGCATCCCGAAGCACAAGCTTTTCAAAGCAGGCAAGAGATGAATATGAGAGGCTGGGAAACAGCAGGCTGAACGGCATCATCTGGACACGGCCCCAAAGTTCGTACTGGCGCAGTGCAGAGGAGCAGGAGGACGGAGGGACGGATCGGCGGAGGCGCCTTCTGCCAAGCAAGGAACTGCACTGAGGTCAGGGTAGGGCAGATGCTGGCAACCCCAAAGCAGACTTCAGCCAACGCGGCACCCTTCAGCAAAACGCTGAAGCTGTGATGCCGGTGAAGGACAAGGAGAACTCGGGCCCAGCATTCGGAGGGCACCAGGCTGTCAGGATGGAGCAGGCTTGCTAGGGCCTTGGCTTCAGACTCAAGGATGCCAGGACAGCTTGAGGAGAAGGACGGGAGCTATTGCTCTAGATTGTCTGTTCCTCCTCCTGTTGCCATGGCCCGTATGATCAGTGAAACGAAGACATTTCATGAAGAAACGTTCTGGGCGTCTTGCATCTCAGAAGGTGCCCTTGGAGAAATCTCTTCCAGCCCAGCTTTCAAGATCATGCTCCTTCAGGGAAGCTGCTACCTCCTGAATCAATCTAGTTCAGGGTACCAGAATGATTTTCCACGGTGCCCACATAGCTGGGCAACATCTGTTTATTGACGATACCGCACCCCAAACTGGTCAGCAACCTCTCCCAGCAGCTTTGTGTAGACAAGACCAAGCCCTGGAACCAGCCATAATGGAATGCTCCAAGCCTGACCTTTCCCTTCCTGCCGCCAGCAACTGGATTCACCCACTAAAGCAGGAATGTCACAACATGGGGCCTCCAATTCTCAACCCTCACAGGTGGTCCAGAAGGATCCTGTGGTCAATACTCTTGAAGGCCACTGAGAGGTCTGGTAGAACAAGGAGCGTTGTGGTCCTACCACAGGTCATTCATGAGAGCAATCAATGAAGGTCCTGCCCTTTACTGAGGCCTGCATCCACACTGCCATAGGTTTGAGTAATCCATATCCTCCTGAGCTCTTCGAAATTGTTGCCCTACCATTTTCTCAAGAAGGGAAGGCTGGAGGTAGGATTGGAACCCAGGCCCACGCTGGATGCCTCCCCTGCTCCTGTTTCAGCTTCAGTGGATGATGCCAGGGACCATCCCCCAGGGCACAGCTCCTCTTTAACACCTGCTGAATTTTATGTCACGCAGCATGTTCCCATCAGATCAGACCGAACTCATGTTCACCATGAGTCTCATGTGGCACAAAAGCAGCGCTTAAAATAATTAGCAGAAGGATCTGTAACTTAAGTGGGATGGACTGAGGATACCTGACCAACAGCCGTAAGCCTGGAATATGCTACACTGGTGTAAGCCGCTGTCCCCAGCTCTAAGCCAGAAACAGGGAGCACCAAGGAGGACTTTCCGGGAATCTGATGGCCTCAGTGCTCAACCTGCTGACCTTTCCGTTTGAGACTAAGACAAGAGAACACCACTAATAAATCACCATCCTGGGTTTGTCCCACAGCGTCGTCATAAACCAGAGTCCAGCGTCCATCTCCTGTCCTCTTGCAGAAGAAAGCGCGCATGGAACCAAGCCAGCCTCCTGGATTGGCAGGTGCAAAATTTAAAAGACGTCTGCATCCCTGGGAGGGAAGATGAGAACTTAAACTCATCTATTTCCAGCGGTGTCTCTGTCGACAGCCAGCATATTAGCTACCCAGCGCGCAACTGACTGCTTGCCCGAGAGGAGGACAAAGAAAACGTCCAGATACGCGTGGGTGTATACGAGAACGTGCAGGTCTGCAAAAATGTTTCCCTAAACCACCAAACTTCGATTAGATGAGAGCCCAATCTTACGCACTGAAAGAGCAATCATGGCCAGCTCGGGTGATTTCCCAGGGGACTGCAACAGAACAGGTGCCCTGGGCATGACAACATCATGGCTTACAAGGGAGAGAGGGACAAAACTCAGGTCAATGGCAAAAGCGGGTATCGCTGCACTAACTCGGTTTGCTTGCTCGCAGGCTTCGGATAGATCAGCAACCTGCAAATTCATTTCCTTAAAGCCTTCCGGAAATCTTTTTGACTGCGGCTGGGCATGAAGCTCCAGGCCGGTGTTTTTCAAACTTGGCAACGTTAAGATGCGTGGACTTCAACTCCC